GATGCTGTTTGTGAAGCCTCCATAGGCATATGAGTTAGCAGCTTCACTCTAGGGACCAGCTGTGCTGACATAGTGACTGGTGTGGAGGTGATTTTGCCTTCTCTGGCCTCAGTGCAGCCATTCTGGAAAATGGGCAGAATTTATATGACTGTTAGGGATGAAAGGAGTGCTGAAGTTTTGGGGTTTTTTTTTTGTATTTTTTTGGTTTTGGTTTTAAATTTAACAAACATTTCTCAAAGGTGGCTCTGTGTCAGGCACAACTCTTAAGTACTTCCTAATAAGTATCATTTAAGGACTTCCATGGTAGTTCAGTGGCTAAGATGCCGTGCTCCTAATGCAGGGTGCCCAGGTTCCCACATGCTGCAACTAAAGAGTTCACATGCTACAATGAAAATCAAAGATCCCATGTGCCACAAGTAGATCCAGCACAGCAAAATAAATAAATAAAAGTAAATATTAAAAAAGAAAACCATCATTTAAATGATGTAATTTCCATAACAGCTCTATGATGTAGACATTATTAATACTACCATTTTGCAGAGGAGAGAGGTGAGGCACAAGAGGTCAAGTGACTGCCCAGGGTCGCTGAGCAGGGTCAGTGTGACTTCAGAGCTCCTCCTATGTTTGTAGGATCTCCTGCCTCTTGGTATTCTGTGAATATCCAAAGCAGAGACTGTACAGTTGGGAAGGGACTGCATGCAGATTTGCCTTGCAAAGGTCTTATGTGCTGGTGTTTTGTTCACAGTGAACAGTGCCGGCTGGCAGGAGTAGAGGCAAGGGCCAGGATTCCGGGGAGTGGACGCTGATAAACAGCTGGGATGTCAGGGTGCCAGGAGTCAAGGTCAGAGCTGGTGACCATGCAGGGACTCCTGAGAGGAGCCAGGCCTGTTTTCTGCCCTTCACATCCTAGGGTAGCTGGACCCGGGGCCCCTTGGGCTAGCAGCCTGTGAGCCTCGCTGAACCAGCACTGTCCCTGGGAGGGTGTTCTCAGCCTCTGCAAGCAAGGGGGTTGGTCCCACAGCCCTTGGCCTACTTTGCAAAATTCATCTCTGGAAAAAAATTACTCTCTGAGCAGAGCAGAGCATCTTGGCATCTTGTGGTGGGTGAGGCCTTCTGAGGCCTTCTGCCTCCCCAGAGCAGGGAGGAGAGAAATCCAGGCCCAGCTCCTGCTTCCCTCTTGGCTTCCAAGGTGGGGCATTCTGGGGTAGGCAGCTCCCCCAGCTCCCCACCCCTGAGTCCCTAGAGCCAGCCCAGCTGCCCCATCAGTGCATGTTCTCTTGCATCCTGCCCAGGATAGCCTGTTTAGTGGGTTGGGGCTGGCCCAGCTGCCAGCAGGTAAGTGGGATTGGGCCAGGGCATAATTTGTTTCTCTGGGATATATTGATGAGCTGCCCTAATTAAGCACCTTGCTAATGAGAATCCAACCACTTCACTGGAGCCCGATGGCTCAGAGCCTGAACCAGCCATGGGTCCTCGGCAGAGCCCTCAGTGGTGTGGGGGTCTCAGTTTGTTTTCCACACCGTGGTGCTTCCTGTCTTGTCTCCCTTCCACACTAGGCCCTGTGGTTTGCCGAGTCCCTCCTGTCCCTGCACACAGCAGGTGCTTGGGGATCCCAGGGGCTGTTGAAAAGTGTGGAAGTATCAAGTCTCTCAGCCGTGTTCAATTCTTTGTGATCCCATGGACTGTAGCCCCCCTGGCTCCTCTGCCCATGGAATTCTCCAGGCACAAATACTGAAGTGGGTAGCCATTCTCTTCTCTAGGGAATCTTCTCAGACCAGGTATCAAGACCAGGGATATGAACTCAGGTCTCCCGCATTGCAAGCAGATAGATTCTTTACCTTCTCAGCCAGCAGGGAAGCAAGCACCCAGGAGCTGTTGAGAGCTGACTAAAGAGGCATTGCTACTGCTGCTAAGTCACTTCAGTCGTGTCCGACTGTGCGACCCCATAGACGGCAGCCCATCAGGCTCTCCCGTCCCTGGGATTCTCCAGGCAAGAACACTGGAGTGGGTTGCCATTTCCTTCTCCAGTGCATGAAAGTGAAAAGTGAAAGTGAAGTCGCTCAGTCATGTCCGACTCTCAGCGACCCCATGGACCGCAGCCTGCCAGGCTCCTCCATCCATGGAATTTTCCAGGCAAGAGTACTGGAGAAAGAGGCATTAGGTAGAGGTTAATTATGGCTTTCTTTGGGGGAGGTTCTTATCACTGTGGTCAGATTCACTGATCTGTTTCTCGTCCTGTGCCTCTTCACTAGGTCTGTGAGGAAAGAGAGATGTTGGGGATGAGGATAGAACTTAGAACGTGTGATTTGTGTTACTGTATCAGTTATTTACTGCTGTGTAACAAACCACCCCAAAACTTACTGGGTAAAGTAACTATTTATATTGTGAGTCAGAATTGAGAGTCAGGAATTAGGACAGAGCCCAGCCGAGTCAGCTTGTTTCTGCTCTGTGTTATCTGGGGCTTCAGCTGGGAACAGTCACAGTTTGGGGGTAACCCAGCAAGTCACACATCTCGCAGTTGATGCAGGGTGTGAGCTGAGACCTCAGCTACCAGCCGGAGCACCAGCTTGTAGCCTCTTCATATGGTCTCTCTGTGTGGACTACTTTGGGCTTCCTCACAGCATGGTGGCCAGATTCCAAGGGTGAACGTCCTGAAGAGAGTGAGGTGAAGAGAAGGCGTTTTCCTAATCTAGCCTTGGAAGTTGCTAGCATCATTTCCCTCTTCTCTATTGGTCAAGGCAGTTACCAAAGACCACCCAGGTTCAAAACGAGGGGCTGTAGACCGCACTACTTGATGGAGGAGTGTCAAATCACAGTGCAGGAAGAGCATGAGAGAGTGGCAGCCATCTTTGGGAAAACAGCGCTCTAGTGAGGGGGGTGGTGGTGGTGATTCAGCGCTGAGTGATCGACCATGAAGAGACAGGAGGCTGTGTAAGGGAAGCAGGTGTTACAGAGGTGGCAGAGTGAGGGGAGCGGATGTGACAGGAAGTAGTTGGACAGGAAGATCTGAGTTGGCCAGTCTGCCATGATGGAAGTGGGCCCGATGGTGACAGTGCTCAAGAGACTGGCAGTACCATCTTTCCTGGCTCTCTTAGCTGCCCCCCTTGGAGGCCTCAGGGTGACCAGGCTGATTCTAACATGGGTACCCAGGCCTCAGGCAGCCCAGGCCTCCTTAACTGGCCCTGTCTTATCTGCCCACCCCTGCCCCTGCCATCTTTCTCTCTTCCTGTGGGTCCCCAGGCTTCCCATTCCCACCAGCAGCCTCCACGTTTTCCAGAAGGAGCGACTCCCACCTCAACAGCCTGGAAGCCCTCCAACTACCGTACTTTTCTTCAAATAAAAGCAGCTAATTAACATTATTCTTTAATTATTGCCTTTATCAACAAGGGGTCTGATTTGTACCAGCAGGATAGTTGCCTTCCCTTAAACTACCCAAGTGAATGCTTCAGTTCCTGGTGCTTTTGAAATGAATTTGATGTCATCTGCCCAGAGTCACTTAATGGGAACGCCTGGGTAATGACTGAACGCGCTAACTCCGTTAGCAGCCCTGGAAGCATGTAATTTGGCCCCTCAGGCAACAGCACTTTTGAAATCTCTGGATAGTTTTGAACTCTCTGTTCTTAATTAAATATGCAATTTTTCACGGTAACCAGGTTAATTCTTTTGTGTTGTGTTGTAATACTGTTAGGAATTTTCATAGTTCTTATTAAACATTATTCAGGCATTGTGAATTCCATAATTAAAAAAAATGAAAAGAACAAAGCTTGATTCACTCCTTTCTTTTCCCTGGCTAATTTATCAAATGAATTTTGCAAATTTTTCTTTCTGTCCCCAGACAGTGTGGCAAGTGTTTTAAAGGGGAAGGATTTAATTGCCCTGTAGGGATTGGCTGGTTATGAAGGATTTGGCTGTTTGATTAGTAAACCCAGTTGGGAATGGTCTAATGCTCCGTGATCTTAAAAATTGTCTGATTGTACCCTCTCCAAGGAGGCTTCTCTTTTCGTTATGTAGAGCATCAACTTCACACAAGTGTGGTTATTAGGTAGTAAAGAAGGGGAGAGAAAAAGATCTGACTTTTATTTTAAATTGGGGATCTTGGGAGATTTTTTTACCCCCCATTTCCCTGGCTGGGGAGGAAGGGAGAACATAGTAGAGGAACAGAGAGAGAGAGAGAGAGAGAGAGAGAGAGAGCGCGCGGGATGGAGCAGTTCTCAGATTGCAGGTCCAAGAGAAGGCAGAGGAGGGCAGCTCAGAGGGTGGGACCTGAGGGAGCATTTTGCTGCATCCTTGCAGATAAGGGCACCTGCCATGTTCGCCAGCTGGAGAGGTGCTTATAAGCCAAGGAGGCCCCTCTGCAGGGTTTTTGGGGCAGGAGGGTTACTTTTCCATTTCTGGAACCGGGTCTGGTTTCTGAAGAATATTTGCAGACCTCCACTGAGCATGGTGGGTTTGTGAGTGGGAGAGGACCATGCCCTGAAAATGTCCTAATAAGGCCAAGGCTCTTCTGATGAGGGGCTGCTAGGCAGAGATAGCCGGGCCCTCCTAGTGAGGGGAGTAGGACCACTGGCTGATTCCTGGACCCTTTTGATTTCAGTGAGGGTCCCGTTTATGCCTCAGTTATCCTCATCTGCAAAATGAGGCAAGTTATTTCCAACCTTTTCTTACTTTGCTGGATTTCCACTCCGCCCACCGGTCATGGCTCTCTGCATCCTAGAGGTGGGGAAGTGGCAGATGAGTTTAAGAGGTAACAGGGGTCAGATCCCACAGAGGCCTTCAGGGCCACAGAATGGAGCTGAATTTTGTTTTTTTTTTCTAAGTGCAAAGCTCCTTAGATATTGAAGGAAGGTAGGGATGATTTGGAAGGGATATTACCAAAGAGTAAGTGGGTTGAGGGGGCCTTTGTGCCAGAAAGGGGGCTCTTTCCGGCAGCCCCTCTGTCCCCTGACTGCCTCCTACCCAGATTTAGCATCTTTAGCCCTGAGCTCTGGGAAACTCCCCACCTTGAGGTCACCCTCCAGCTGGTCTGACAGTTGGAGCTGGGGTAGAAGATGCTGGTCACGCCTTCAAGGGTGCTTGAGGGCCTTTGCTGCAGTGGATTTAAGCAGATGGTTCAGGTTTTCAAGAGAAGCCAGAAACTTGGGTTTTATGAACATTCCTTTAAGATGTAAATGCAGGGAAGAAATTGAAAATAATTAAATGCTGGGCACACAACAGGTTTGCCTATTCATAAATATCAAATTGGACCTGTGGGCCCTGGGTCTTCAAGTCTGTCACACTGCTTAAGGGGGTTCTAAACTAGTGAAAAGAAACATTTTAGTAGCTTATTTATGAAGTGCTTTTCCAGCACCCTGCTGAGCCCCTGACAAATCTGAGCTCATTTAACCCTCCCAATTGGAGGAAGTGGGTTGAATCTTATCTCAGATGGGCAAGACTGAGGGTTGGAGAGGTGTTGCCTGGGGTAAGAATTCCAGGCATTAGTCCCAGCTCACCTGGTTTTTGTGGTAAGTAACAGGACTCTGTGCAGAAGGCATGCATCCCCAGGAAACCATGGTGGGGAGGTGGCAGTGACTTAGGTCACATGGTGATGACCTTGCTTGATTTTGAAGTTAAAACCACGAGTTGAGGGCCCTGAGCTCTACCTTGAGTGAGCTTTATTGAAAAGTGAAATCAGGTCACCACACCCTCTCCTCCACTTAAAAACTTTTAATGACTCCCTGTCGCTTAAGGGATGAAGTCCAGATTTTTACCTTGGCTTACATGACCTGTTGTGGTTACCTCCTCCCAACTGCTTTTGCCTCCACCCTTTCACCTCTTACTGCGCTTCCTTGTCACCAGCTCCCCAGCCAGACTTAAATTATTATCAGGTCCACAAATGCCTTACACTTTCTTACCTCCATACTTTGCATATACTGTTCCCCCTGCCAGGAATCCTCTTGTCATCACTCTGCCTGACAAATTTTCCTCATCCTTCACATCTCCAATCTGGGAGGCTTTCCTGAACCTTCTGGCAGGATCAGGGGGCTTCCCCCATAATTATTACATCACAGTTCATTGGGATTGCTTGCCTTGTCTCTTTTATTTTAAGACCCACAAGGGCAGCGTTTGTGTCTGTCTTGCTGACTCTTGTCACATGTACAGAGCTTGGCACATCTTAGATGCTAAATAAATATCTGCTGATAGCACAACACTTTTGTTGCTCCCAGAAAGTTTTGGGGAGCAACCCCTAAACTTCCAGGACCTCACTGAGAAGCAGGGGTTGAACATGATGTGAAGACACTGAAAGGAGCAAATTCTACTTCCCTCAGACCCATCCTGGCCCAGCCCACTCTGGGAGGCTCTTTTGGAGCCTGTGGCCTCTCTGCAGTGTAGACAAGACAAGGCTGCTTCTCCGAGAGCCAGGGCAGGAGTTAGGCTGCTTCGGCTGCTGTCAGGGGCAGAGAGGCTTGATGCCTGCTCCCCCTTTTCTCCCTGTTACCAACTTGATCCTCCAGATGGCCACGTGTCAGTGATAAAGACGAAGGGAAATGACACAGTAATGTTTCCTCCAACCAGAGGAGCGCGAGGCCTTAGAAAGAAAGCAAGTGATGACACCTGCTATTTCTCTGCCTTTGGGTGCCTCCCCTTCTTGGAGGTGGTGCTGGGATTTTCCTCACTGTAGCTGTGTGGAAGCCAGGCTCTGGTTGCTGAGACTGCTTGGAAAACCACAGACCCATGGCATCCTCAGCCACAGGCACACACGCACACACTTACATGCACACATATGTACATACACTCACTGGCCCGTACACACACACACACACACTCTCTGCCAGTTCTGCATCTCTAGGATCCCTGCACATGTGTACATACACTCACTGGTATGTATGCACACACGCATACACACACACATTCCTCCCCAGTTCTGCATCCCTAGGATCCCTGCATGCAATAGCAACACGTCTTCTTTTTCCCGCCTGTCTGCCTTCTTTTTCCTATTTTCATTCCTGAATTGTTAGAGGACCAAAAGCAGCTGAAGAAAGCTCTCCGGTTTGTGGGGAGGGAGTGAGGTATTGGCCACAGAGGATTATCAGGGAATCCTGTGACTGAAAGGAAAAGAAGGGATTTTAAAAATTAATTTCATCTTATAAAAGCCATATTGCCACATGGAGGATTTTCAAACAAGAAGAGGAAGAATATGCCAACAACACAGGCTCCCCTTAGCGCTCCAGTGTGCCTCTGTCTGCTCCTAATGGTTTGCCGTCAGAAGTGTGGCTCCTTCTGTTTTGTAGCCTTTTCATTTAACTGTGGCATTGCCCTTTTCCACATCATTGTTGTCTTCAGATCAAGTGTTTCACTGGTCTAATATTCCATGAAGTGAATGGATCATTCTCTCCTCATCCGGACCATGTCCCTGGGCATCTCTAGGTGTTTTTGCTTTTAAAACACTCCAGTGATGGATAAAAAATTGCATTTCTGGTTTTATGTCTTTGACTCTTTTTCTCAAGACCGAGAATCTGGCTCCAAAGTCAAGTAGTCCTGGGTTCAAATTCTGTCCCTGTCAGTGCGACTTCAGGCCAGTGCTTTCTCCTCTGTGCCTCAGCTTCTCTGTCTCTCAAATGGGGCCCCTCAAAGCCTCTCTCAGGAAGTCTTGTTGGCTTAGATCAGTGAATTGGCCTGAAGCATTTAACTGAGGACTGACTCGTAGCAAGCTCTTGTGCGGCCCCTGGCGGGTCGGTTTCATTCAGTCTTCTTCCTCCAGCACTGTGCCTAGCCTGCAGGGGCTTCTCACTTAACCCTTTTCAAATGAATGTGATGGACACATTCACGCGAATGTATTTTTCTGCCTGTGCATGTGTGTATGTTTCTGTTGAAGACTCTTGTAGAGAAATACAGATGTACACACACACACACACACACACACACACTCAACGCTCAGCCAAACCAAGGGAAGGGCACAGGGCTGTTCTGGTTGAGGATCCACAAGCATTTCATTGTGATTAAATATTTATTTGGTGCTTGTAATGTGAACGTGACACTTTGCAGTAGATAAGACAGGGCCATGTAGAAAAGGCTTGAAAACTATGAGGTCCAGCTCAGGGAAGAAACAGCCAAAGGAAGTAGTCAGGGAGGGGCTGGGGCTCAGGAATTTATTCACTCAGTCAGTCATCTGTGTTTATCCAGCACCTACTATGTGCCAGGTCCCAGGCTATGCCCTTGTGATGCCCTGGTGACCAACACTGACGTGCTGTCTGCCCTGAGGGCACTGTTGGTCTCCACGGTGTTTAGAAGTGAAATCCCTCAAGAGACTGACATTAATCAGATAATCACACATATTTGAAATTGCAAACCCTGTAAAAGGCTGTGGAGGAAATGATCTAGGAATGATGATACTGTATAGCAGGTATAATCCGGAAGTTAAGGAAGGACTCCTGAGTTAGCCAAGTGAAAAGGGGCCACAGTCATCCAGGCAGAAGGGAGCAACATAGGCGAAGGTCCTTGGTGGGAGGACACACCTTTGCTTCTGAGAAGTGTGGCTGAGCGGGGTAGACAGGATTGACTCAAATGGGGCTTGTAGACCCCGCTGAGGTCTTTATCCTGAAATTGAGGGGGACTGTGACTGGGTGAAATGGGCATTGGAGGGGTGAAAGAGGAGAATTGGAAGGGTTTAAGGGCCTTGAGGCTGGGGTGGGGGGAGTGGCTAGATAAGGAGACTCAGCACCACCCGCCACTCTCCCCTGGCTGGAAAGTGCATGCCTGGCCTTTCCAGGCATCCAGAAAATATCAGTGTACAGGATGGAGCAGGTCAAGGCAGGGACAGGAACAGAGTGATTTTTCTGGGCAGATGGGGAGAGGAGCAGGAGAGGCCTCGCCACATTCAGATATATGCTTTCTTTTTGCCACTCATATTTACCTAGGGGCTTGTGAAAAGAGAAAGATCCAAAAGAAAAAAAAAATCCACCAGATCCAACATTGCTTCAGGCATGCAGCCTGAGGGAACAAGTATTTTTTTCTCCAATATTTGTGCATGTTTGAGTGTGTGAAATGCTGTGCTGAAACTCTACGTCCTTTCCAGAATAGGGAGCTCCGGGGCCTTTGGGGCCGTCAGGAGGTGGGCACCGTCACTCCCCACATTTCTGATGAGGGCTGGCATAGCAGGGCCCGCCCTCTGCAAAATGGTAGGCTTCTGTTTCCCATCTGCTTTGTGTTCCAGTAACTCAAGCGTGGCCCGCCTCGGGGGCTGGAGGTTCCCAGGCAGGCTGGTCTCTGGAATGGTGGAATTCCCGAATGAGAGATTCGGAGGCAGGGAGTCTAGGGGATTTGGCGGCTGCCCCTGCATAGTGATATTCTGCGCCTCACACATTCTTATTAGCATCGTAATCACTCCAAAATACTGATTCATTATCGCACTCCAAGCTGCAGACTGAGGCAATGGGGTTTAATAGTTCCATATGAGCCATTCTGGGCTGTTGAGTAAATATTGCTCATTCTGAAAAATTGGGTAAATGTGTGTTTACGCTGGCGATGAGCAAAACAGCAGCCAAGTAGGTAGTTGGGGTCTGGGCTGGCGCCAGGCAAGGTGGTGGGGAATGGGGGAATACTCACACTCCAAGAAGTGTCCTATTCATGTCTGGCTGGCCTTAAAATATTTTTCTGGATGTGAAGATTGGGATTAGGAGGGAGTTTTGCTCTGAAATTAGAGTAGATGTACCCTTGTGTTTATTGTGTGTGTAGAAATGGCTCCAGGGTAGATAGGAAAGACCCCAGGCCCTCCAAACTTGTATAGGTAAGTAATTGGTTTCAGAACTGGATGGCTGCTTACTACATGCAGCAGGAGGCACTGTGGCATGGGTTAAAGCGTGCAGGTGTGTGGGTTCCACTCTGAGGTTCCTGTTCTGCCACTTGTTAATTGTGGGACCCCAGGCAAGTTACTTGACCCTTCTGTAGCCTCAGTTTTCTCATCTGTAAAATGGGGATGATAAAAGCACTTCCTCAAAGGATTGTGTGGGATTTAAACAAGCATATTTGTACAAATTTCAAATGGTGCTTAACATCATGCACGAGAAATGTTAGTTATTAACAGGGTTCTGGTGTGGTGTGGCAAGAAGGTTTGCATTTGGGTCTGGCTATATCTGGGGTTCTTCGGCTTAGAGAATCTGATGAAAGGTATGTATCCTTTATTCAGGAACACTGTTGATTGAGACGCATAGCATTTTGCATGTAGTTTCAGGAGGTTGTTGGGTTCTCCATATTTAGCTGGGTAGTGCAAGTTATGAGCTCCCAACCCCTACTGTGGATCACCCTTTTGTGGAGTGGAAGTGAGTCAGATGCTCTAGAACCTTCTAGAACTAGGTTTTGGCCAAAGCCTAGGTTTCATACTGGCTCTCTTTCATATTTTCTGTATAAAGTTAGGAAGATGAAGAAACATTTTTGAGCTTCAGTCTCATACTTGATGTGGAGTTCTTCATGTGAAAAGGATTTGGACCAGGTTAAAACACTTGGCCCAAAGCTTGGCACACAGTGGATCTCATACTTGATTGACCTCAGTGTTGCTAAATGTAAGCTCTGCCCCTCTGTTACATTTATAGTCTGTATATTACAATTCCTTTATCTGAAGTTTTTATGTCTGATTCTGCTAGTTGTGTCTATTTATTCTCACACATAGTAGACTGTTTCCCTGTGTGTTTTGTAATTTTAGATTTTAAGCTCACCTTTAGGAGAATTGAATCTCTGGGAATTTTGTGTGGCCTGGGTTACCTCTAGAGTAGAAGTTGGCCAGCTTTTTCTCTAAAAGGCCAGGTAACAAATATTCTTAATTTTGTGGGTTCTGATGCAACAACTCAGCTCTGCTGTTGTGCAGCAGAAGCAATCAGAAATAAGTAACTGAATGGATGTGGCTGGATTTGGCCTGCAGGCGGGTGGGATTTGGCCCTGCGGATCATAGTTGGCTCACTCCTGCTCTAGAGATTTTGTATTCACTTTTGCTTAGTGTCCAGGGGTATTACTAGAGGAAAATTACTTTTTGTATATTAATTGCTTGACTGACAGCAATGGTTCTCAAAGTGTGGTCCTTGGATCAAAAGCATCTGAGAACTTAGACATGAAAATTCTTGGTCCCATCCCTGATCTTCTGAATTAGGAATTCTGGAGGTAGAGCCCAACAATCTGTGTGTCCAGGTGATACCGGTGTATGCAAGTCTGAGAACTTGAAGGGTAGTATAAAATTGACTCGTAAACCCCTATAAAGGCAG